TGGCCACATGTCACGTCACTTAGTTGTAATCGTACACCTATCCGATGACCTTTGACATCTCTCTAAAACCTTTCCACTCCTTCAAAAACAACGAAGGTCATTGCTTTTACTAGTCAACATGAAACGAAGTTCACAAAACCACACACACTGTGGTCACACACTTCCTAGTGAAACAAGATTATTAAAAAGAAAATAAATTTAGTGAGAGACTTTATTTAATCTGATTGGATGGTGAATAACATTAAATGACACGTGATTGGAGGAGAGGGCTTAAATATAAGAGGGCTTGATGACATCAGCTGAACAGGAAAGTTATTTGAAGTAGTGTTGTATTACATTTTGAAAGAAAACAAATAGTGTAAGTTCTGATTTCATGATGACTTTAACCACGTTTCACAAGCTAAAGCAAAATCAATCAAAAAATGGTTATTTTGTGATTTTGCACAATCAACAAATTACTCTGATACTAAGATAACCACCAGTCCGCTGAGGGACAGAATAAGTTTCTTTAAAAGACAAGCCAATAAGTTTCCTATCCGAGTTGCTTCTTCAGAAGAACGCTGTGATTAGGTTAGCTGCTATTAAAGTGAGCCGTGATTGGCTGGTTTAATGATCAAGTGGCTTTTGATTGTCAGGAAGAGAAGAGTTTTTCTCAGACTGTTAACACAGAGGATGTTTTAGTGTGTGTGTGTGTGTATGTGTGGTTGGCACTGATGGTGGCATCCTGGATCGATACACATCAGGCTCACCGGCGAGACAGACAAGGGCGTCACCGAATCGACAAGCATGTGCTCAGAGCGCATCATTCACCAGCCTCCGCACACACACACGGATCACGTTATACACAAACACAAAACACTCATGCACACATGAAGTTATTATGGTTTACTCGTGCAATAATGTACTACTCAATTAATGTGGTCAACTTATATAGGAATATAGTTATGTAGGTCATTCCTAAATTTGAGTAGGAAAAAAAATTCACTCAAAAATTGCCAAATTTCACAAATAATTACCAAGACACTGCAATTGAATTAAACATGAAATTTTAAACTAAATAGTATTTCCTCGTAAAACGTACTCCAGAAATCTTGGAAAAGCAATTATATCGTGTTCATCTCATGGTGTGTGTAGTTCAGAGACGTATTCTTAGCCTTAAAATCACATGCTCAGATTTCAACCAGTCGACCATACTGGACCAAACCCTGCATTTCGCTCGCTTTCTCGTTCTCTCTCCTGGTCTACCGAGCTGGATCAAACCCAATGTACTCGTTGCGACGGTAGTGACGTCATGGCTGTCGCCGGCCAAACAAGTTGGTGTTTTTTCAATGTAGGCTTCAGACACGGGTCACGACGAGGCGTTCCCCATAGCGACCCCTAGAGGACGCAGTGTCTCGTTCCCCTCAGGGAACCATGGTTACATAAGTAACCCGAGACGTTTCTGTGTTTCAGAAAAATAAAAATAAAAATAAAATTTTTAGCGCCTCATACTTGAGCAACTTTATTATGACTGGTTTATAATTTATCATCCAAGAATAGGACACTCTAAACAGCCAGAAAGGTTCAATGACCCATTTAATTACATTTAAAATTTATTTTTGTCTGAACGAAAACTTTTGGTCTTGGTGTTTCGTTAAAAAAAATAATTTCAGTGCCTCATTCCCCAAGATTTTTATGACAACTGGTTTAATTTATCAGCCAAAAGCATAACAACCAGAACAGCATAAAGAGTTAAATGACTCAAATTTAATTACAGAAACTTTATTTTTAGTTTTCAGCTAAATGAAAACTTTCAGTTTATGTTTCAGTAAAAAATAACTTTGATGCGCTAAATTCCTGAAAACTTTACTTCAAATGGTTCAATTTATCAACCAAGAACATTACACCCTGAACAGCATAAAGAGTTTAACCAGTTCGTTAACCAAATTTAAATTGCAAAAACGTTTGGTTTTCGGCTACATAAAAATTCCCTTTTTCAATGTTTTTGTTGACATGTATTATGTGTTAATACCAAAGTGTTTTAAAAGTTCCATTTAAATAATAGCATATGAAAATAGTAGGCCTAATCATTTAGTACCGTGCCACGGTCTCTTAAGCAAGCTATGAAATGCATTTATAATACCAAAAAATGCTACCCAAGTAGGCAGCTCACTAGGGTTTTGAGACACAGCACCAGAGACTCTTGTGTTTGACTGTCTTAGACATTTGTTTATAAGTGCGGCCCCCGTCCTGCTGACCGCACACAGAAAGAAGCTTTCAGAAAGAGCCCACTCTAATTACTCCGTCTTTCAGTCCTCTATGAAAAATGACAAACTAGAAGGGCAAGACAAAACAAATTAAGACTGAAAAACAAGGAAAACATTGGAGAGAGGGGCCGCGGGGTGCAGGACGGGATCTGAGGGGGTCTCTACAGTTGACACAGCACTGAAGAGCATTCCAGCGCAAGCGGAGAACAAAAGCACGCACACACACACACACACAGCGCACACAAACAATGGCATGGACGCTGGGAGACGCAACAACGGCACATCAGGACTCCCTACCCCCTCATACATGCGGAGCGGGCCGCTGATTTTAATGTGAAGCGTCCACTGAGTCCTGGCATTTGGCAAAGACAGATGCTGAGAATGGGCTCGCACACACAAGCTGGGCTGCGCTGGGAACAGACGGGGGAAGGGTCGCCCCACACGGGGACACATCCCTCCGTTTCTAAGGGAGAACGTCGGCATTGATCAGCGACGTGGAGGTCATTCTACCCGCATACACACACACACACAAACTGATGCATGCATTAAAGGACAAACGGCACTGAACAGGTGGACCAGTAAAAAAAATGTTTTCCAGAAAGCATATCATGTATCCGAACAGACAGCTGTTTGGAACATGGACAAAAGTGTGTGTGTCGCTCCACACAGACTAAATAGCTCCTCTTTCACTCACTCGGTTCTTAGACGCACTTTGAGCATAATCTTAATATGTGTTTCCACTGTGGTTTGATGTTTTATAGTTTGTGCATTAGCAAAGCATAAACGCATTGCTTTGCTGCGCTGTCCAATGGTGATTCAATTGTGAAAGGGAAACAAATGCATTAACAAACATAAGGTTGAGTCATATTATCTAGTGCTAGATTGATACATCAGCCATTTTGAGATTAGCATTGCTGAAAATAATAACAATAATAATTAATTTACTCTCAAAATGTCATTCCAAACTCCAGTGGAAAACAAAAGAAGATATTTCAAGCTGCTCTTTTCCATGCAATAAAAAAAGTGAATGGTGACCAAACTCGGTCTAGCTCTAAAACGCACAATAAAGGCGTTATAAAAGCAGTCCATACAACTTGTGCGCTATATAGTCTACAGAAATCATATGTTAGCAACATATATGTGAGGAACAGACAGTGAAAAACTCAAGACATGCCATGGTCACCATTCACTTTCATTGTATAGAGAAGAGCAGCACAGACTTTCTGCTAAATATCTTCTTTTGCCTTTCACAGAAGAAAAGAAAGTCATAGAGGTTTGGAATGATATGAAGATGATAAAATGATGACAAAGTATTCATTTTTGGATGAAACATTCCTTTTAATGCCAAATATTATAGTAAATTTAGTTAAATAAATGTTTCAATTTATATTTCAGCACGGTTGTGGATCTCAATTATTATTTTTAAATGGTATTATGTAAATGTCTACATTATATTGACCAATGTGGTCTCTAGATATCAGTATTGGCCATATAAAAAAAATAACACTAATAATGCATTTAAACAATATTGGACCTCATTGACTTCCATTGCATGGATGCTGAGACATTTTTTTTCAAAATAACTCCTTTTGTGTTCTACATAAGAAAGAAAGTCATACGGTATTGGAACAACATGACGGTGAATTTTCATTTTTGGGTTGAGCGGACCTTTAATTTCAAAAGTGGATCACAATATCTCTTCACAAACCAAATTACCAATCAAAGATTTCTCATAAATACACACCGCCTGACCCTGCCTGGCTTTGTCCCAAAACTCAACCCGAGGATGCAAGCAGCGCAAAAGCATATCAAAACTAATCTAATGCTGGGAATAAGTGAGTCATCTATAAAAGTGAGAGTTGGTGGAAAAACAAACCAGAGGTAGTTCACAATTTCCTTTACATTTCTAATGAAAGAGTTTCTGTTTTTAGCAATCACAGTGAATTGGCATGCACTTTTTTCTATATGCAAGCATGCATATGATTATGTATGCAAGTATGCACATATCTGTGTCTAGCTGACCCTATATCGCTCTGTATTCGCCTAACGCAGGGCAGTGTCGCATTTCAGAGAGTGTGTGTCTCCCATTGATGTGCGGAGCACGCCAACATCATCCGAGTGCAGAGCGGTGTGAAGCCAATCTTATGAGGATGGAGAGAAAAAAGTGAATTCAGCACATTAATACGTGCAGCACACACACACACACTCTCTCTCTCTCTCCAGTGGAGGATCTGAAGTGTGCAGTTTGTGTGTATGTGCTCCGTGGGTTTTAATTAAAAGATGCACGGGGCCCCTTGAGAATTCATACACACACATGCACCGGGGGCCGCCTGTAAATTTACAGCACTTTCATGGATGCTCGGGACCCTGTGAGCTCTCCACCTTGTCATTGCACCACGCATGCATTAACATCCACCACACCTCCGACAACTTTCTCTGCCCTCTGCATGTCCACAAGTCCTCTATGTACAGATATTCCCCCATGACAACTTAAATCAGGCTACTTCTCCTGAATGCACTCACAACATCAATGCACAACCACAATTTACCCGTAAGATCCACTGCAAAAGGTCTACCCAAACCCCAAAAGCGTAACACAGCCAACGCAACGCATGCCTTTACTGCGGAATAAACCTGCTTCAGTACTTGCCCCCCTTCATTCTGTCTGCCCCCATCCGCTGCCCAGCCAACTTTCACTCCCAAACGCAGTTAGTTGATCAATAAGCACATTGCATATGACTTCATTTCGCATACCTATCCTCGTGAGTAATAAATCCGCTCGGTGAGTGACAGGCGCCGGCGCGCTACTTTGCCGTATCCATGAGAAGTTCCGTATCCGACCGCGCATCGGTAGAGCGACCGTCTCGCCGAAGCTCCTGCAACAGCAATGTGCTCCTGCGTTCACACACGCGCGTTCTTACACACAAACACACACACATACACACGCTCGCTCGGCGTGGGACCGGAGAAGCGCGCGCACGGAAGGGGGGAAGAGCGACTCCTGCGGGTGCGAGCATAGCGCAGCCTACCGGACGAGAACACACACACACACACACACACACACACACACGGACGGATGGACGGTTTGGCATCATTTATCATTTGCATGTATTGTATCAGTAATTTCTTTAATAAGTATTTATTATTTAAAGATTACATTATGCAATTATAAGTTAAAATATATTTAAATTATAAATATGTAATTGCATACTTCATTTTCACTTCATATATATATATGAAGAGTTAATTTGCAAAAGCAGATAACTCATAGATACAGATAACATATAACAATTTTCACTTTTTATTTTATTGTGTGTTCTTGTCTTTTTTATGTGTCCAAGTTTAATGTTTTTGTTCATGTTAATTTTTTTTTTTTTTTAATGGTTCTAATTTTAGTTACCCCGACTCAAGCTACCCACTGTTTATGTTTTGTCTGTTTGCAGGCAATTTAGTTTTAACACTCTATTAATAAGACTGAATTGTGCTGTACTGCACTGTATTTGAGAACAGCTGGACGTTGCGGTAGCAGTGATAAATGGGTCAGCGCTGCATAAGTGCGCTGGTCCACTCGTCCTGAAGCTCGGGCGCGTCCAGCTGAGAGTCAGAGTGATGATCACGGGCGGCTACGGGGCCTTTTAGAAATGAACTGCCGTGTAATTAATGTAGCCATGATATAATGCACAAATCGATTTCCATTGTGCACCCCTGACTGCACGGGGACAGGAGGGGCTGATTTTTCTGTCCCGCTGGTGTGCTGTTAGGTGGATATCCACTTGTCACGCAGAGCTGACATCAAACGCACGAGGTGAGTGGGTGAGGGTCAGGTTTGCTATATTTGATGAGACCAAATGAGAGTGGCTGAAATAGCCTTCTTTGTATAGCTCTCATGATGGAAACAGCTTCATAAAGGAATTAAATAATATCTTAATTAAAATCTAACAATGCCAAAAGGTTTCTTTAAGGTGTCGGCGTAAGGTTAGGATGTTCTAATTATAATTAGCCTAATTTAAAAACAATACAACCCGCAATAATGCACAGAAATAAACGTGTGTGTGTTGGAGAAATTAGGTGTAAAGTGGCATAAACGGACAGCTTTGGATTAGACTGCATTTATTTGATGGAAAAAATACAGTATTATTGTAAAATGATTTAAAATGTAATTTAAACTGTATTTTATTCCTGAGATGCAAAGCTGAATTTCCAGCATCATTACTGCAGTCTTCAGTGTCACACGATCTTTCAGAAATCATTCTGATAAGCTGATTTGCTGCTCAAGAAATATTTATTATTATTATTATTACTATTATTATTAATGTTAAAAACAGTTGTGCTGCTTCATATTTTATATAGAATATTTTTAATCAGGTTGTATTTTATATTTTCAATTTGTATTAAAATAATTGTATTGCTTTCTTTGTAGTTTTTGTTGTTTTATACTTGTCTATATAGTTTTGACACATTTTTATAACAGTTTTTGTTTTAGTTATTTTAGTAGCCTACATCAAGTTAAACTAAAATGAGAAATGTTGACAACTAAATTAATGAAAATGTATTATTATTAATGTTAAAAACAGTTGTGCTGCTTCATATTTTATATATAATATTTTTAATCAGGTTGTATTTTATATTTTCAATTTTTATTAAAATAATTGTATTGCTTTCTTTGTAGTTTTTGTTGTTTTATACTTGTCTATATAGTTTTGACACATTTTTATAACAGTTTTTGTTTTAGTTATTTTAGTAGCCTACATCAAGTTAAACTAAAATGAGAAATGTTGACAGCTAAATTAATGAAAATGTTTTTTAATGGTTTTAATTTTAACATGATATATACAATGCCAAACAGTTTCTTTAAGGTGTGGGTGTAATGTTAAGATGTACTAATTATTATTAGCCTATAATTTAAAAACAATATAAGCCAATAAAGTCATTATAATGCAGAGACATAAAAAGTGTGTTAGAGAAAACAGGTGCAAAGTGGCATAGATTGAAAGAGACAGCTTTGCTTTTTGCACCTTCAGATTAGTGTGTGTGTGTGTGTGTTTGCTCATGGCTGAAGGACAAAGGGTGTGATGTAGAGGTCAGAGTCACCGGCCTACATGATGTTTATTACCACAAGATCTACGATTCCCCACCAACAGGCAGATCTATTTAATGGACGCAGAGCATCAATTACATGCAAACACACACAGAAAGTTCAGAAGTGTAGGCGTTGGCAGAGCAAAAGGAATAACAATCATTTTAGTGAAGTGCACTTTTTTATGATGGCAACCAGGCATATTGTTTTCCCAGCTATTTTACATGGCTGAAGGACAAAGGGTGTGATGTAGAGGTCAGAGTCACCGGCCTACATGATGTTTATTACCACAAGATCTACGATTCCCCACCAACAGGCAGATGAACATCTATTTAATGGACGCAGAGCATCAATTACATGCAAACACACACAGAAAGTTCAGAAGTGTAGGCGTTGACAGAGCAAAAGGAATAACAATCATTTTAGTGAAGTGCACTTTTTTATGATGGTAACCAGGCATATTGTTTTCCCAGCTATTTTATGTTTATTATTGATTTTTTTTCTTCCATTTATGAAGGCTGTTGTTTTTATTATTAAGACATCTGTCTCATGTATGCAGCGGCACGCGGCAAGCGCTGATGAACTCCTGATGTTAACACCATTCTGGAGCCGCTCTGGATTTGACTGGCTGCCAATCTCTAGTGTACATACAGGCCTCAGAGGCACATACAACTACTGAAGCTCAGAGCCGGTGACTCGAGGCTTCATACCACAATTACATCAGTGGTGAGGACAGAGATCACAGAGACATTCTGGTGAAAGGTTGACTGTTTTATTCTGCTGAGTGAAGCTTGTTTCCTTTGGTTTAGTTTATGGTTAGTATAGAGGATTTGAGGGTTGAGGTTTGGGTTATGGCTGCAGGTTTGTATATATATATTTCTTTCTTTTCAAGGCCGCATTTATTTGATGAAAAAACAGTAAAAACAGCAATATTGTAAAATAACTGTTTTCTATTGTAATACATTTTAAAATAATTTAATCCTGTGATCAAAGTTGAATTTTCAGCATCGTAACTCCAGTCTTCAGTGTCACATGATTCTTCAAAAAGCATTGTATTATGCTGCTCAAAAAAAAAAAAAAAAAACTTCAACAGCTATGCTGCTTCATATTTTGTGGAAACAGATGAATACAAAGTTCAAAACACCAGCTTTTTATTTAAAATAGTAATTTATAACATTAAAAATGTCTTTTACTGACACTTTTGGTTAATGTAATTATTATATATAAGCAGAATGTGCTTTTATTTTTCGATTTTCTTTTTAAATTTTGATAAAGTAATTTTTTGTGTGCTTTTGTCACCTTTAGCTTTTGTAGTTTTTATATAGTTTTAATTCATTTTAATTAATTATGCATATTATTGTATGTATATACTGTATATATATATATATATATATATATATATATATTTTTTTTTTTTTTATTATTATTATTGCAGCTAAAAATATTTACTGATATTTTTGAATACTTATATATCAACATATATCTATTAATTAGAGTTAGTGTCAAAACTAATTATAATTATAGTGATAATCGGTAGTATTTAAAGAAATATGTATTTCCCTTCTGTGAACACTCAAAAAATTAGCATAATTAACATCTATTTTTAAAAACTGAACCAACTATACAAACTGATTCACAAAACCAATCATTTGAACCAAATGACTCACTGAATTCCAAAATTCGGCCTTTCCAATGCAACTAGAGAATCATTAGTAAATTAGTTACACCAAGTCATGGCTTTCATTCCCGGCAAATGCATGAACTTAAAACATTGAAAGCAATGCAAGTCAGTTTGGATAAAAGTGTCAGTCAAACCCAAAAATATAAAATTCCTGTCTCATCTCACTTGTATGTAGAGATTCGTCCTGCTACACTGCTACTAAAAATGCCTTATACTGGTAAAGCTGGACTGTTTGGAAAACAGACACATATTGAGAGTTTAAGCGTGACTGAATGAGAATGTTTGTGACATTTTCTCATTTAAGCTATGAAACTCAAGCCCCATTGACCAATCACAGCTTACGTAACAGACACTAATGGTCCAATGAGACGAGCCGAGTCGAACCCTGGTGCTAAATGACATAATTGCGTTTGTGGAGAATGATAGTTATTTTCAGTTACTCATGCAGAACCGTCAATGACCCTCTAGACAGCAGTTAAACCGAGATCTAGAGAACCCTAGACACATAGTATGGCTCTTTAAACTGCCTCTTTTACATTTATTCAGTGTGCATGTGTGAGCGTGTCTGCAATGTCACACACGTGGCCTATGCATGTTAGAGAACCTGGATTATGGTGATTGAGTTAGTGTTTAGTGCTTTGGGACCCTCATTAGCTAGAATTCTTGATTGAAGAGAACAAAGAGTGGATGGATGTTAGCTAAAAAGTATAAGATGAAGCAGGGCTTAGAAATGAACTGCTAATTTTTACTAGTTGACTGGTCATCCAGAAAAGTAGTTGACGGGGATAAATGACTGGCTTATGTAAAATACATATATGTGGCAGAACTGGTGAAACCCCTAGTTCATTAATAAGTAAATATAAAACTATAATTTGCAAAATGTGTGTACAAAGACTTTTGGATTACTTTTCTTTCATTCTAGAGATGACACAAATGCAAAAAAAAAAAGGCTTTATGATTTAGAATTGGAAAAGAGTTGCTATTTTTGAAATGGTTGTTTATACAAATACAAAAAATTTAAGATTTATAAAATACTACAGGCAAAACTCATAATGTGCATTCCTAACAAGTCACCATATGAACAACCATTCAGTAACTAAACTGAACTAAACTACATTAA